CAATTTCGTGACATAGTTTAGTTTCTCCATACCTTAGAAGTTAGATTGAATAACCATCTATCTGTGGATTCGATCCTACTTACCCTACTACATTGTTAGTTGGTTTTGTTAGGAATTTATTTTTGACAGGTGGACGATAACCTATCATGGTGTGATTTGTGGCCTGCAATTGCGAACTCTACCCTTCGACTTGCAATTTCTTCCCTACGACATGCGATTTGCGATAACCTTCGACCACCATCCTTAACCTGCGATTTGCGACCTGCAATTCGAAATCCTGCAATTGGTGGGAGTGAGTAGTGCGAGAAGGAAGGGAATAAGGAATGGTGGTTGTGTTGGTGGTGGGTGGGGGCTGCGACAGGGGCAGTGGAAAGAAGGTAAGGAATGGTGGTTCAGTTGGTGGGTTCGGTGGAGTTACGTGAGTGGAGTTCTTTGGGGAAACAACTCAACAAGGGAGTTGCATGAGTGGAGTTCTTTAGGAAGAGGAGAAAGTGGAATAAGATAATATAAGCCAAAAAAATCAACATATCAGCTAATAAATGTCTAATATTAGCTAAAACTATGGACATATTAGACATTAACAAAAACGTATTAGCTAACAAAAGGAATATATCAGCCAACAAAAAAACATATCAGCCAACGAGAGGAACTTATTAGCCAACATAAGGAACATATTAGCCAACAAAGAAAGCATATCAACAAACAATAGGATGAAATCAGCAAACAAAAGCAACGGGTAAGCCAACAAAATGAAACATATAAGCCAACAAATAAAATATAGGGAAATTCTCATCGGTAGCCTCGTACTTTTGCTTATTTACATTGGTAGCCACTTTTTACATGAATTATTTTTGGTATCCTCTAACTTTTAAAAGTTTACTTCCGTAGCCATATTTACTATAAACCGTAAAGTGGGTGTTAAAATTTAACTAAATAAAGTAATTTTAATTTGGGAAATTCTCAATGGTGCTCTTGAGGTTTTTCTTTTACTCAATGGTAAACAGCAAAAAAATAAATTATCCTTGGTAATCATGAAATTATTACATAAAGTTATTTATAACATTAATGATAGTTTTGTATTAAAAGTTAACTATGGTTAGGTTTATTTTAATTTTTTACAATCAAATAAAAGTTAAAAAAAAAAAAAAAAACAAAAGTCAGCCACCACCAATTGCCAACCTTCCTCCCTGCCATGGTGCCACCCTTGCCACCATTGACGCCACATCTGCCGACACCCAGACCTTGACTCCACCCTCGCCGGCGCGCCGGCCTTCCCAGCAGTCGTCCCTCCCCTAAACCAACGCCCCATCCCCCAAACCCCCTCTTTCTCTCACCGAAACCCCATTGAAACCCTTCCCCCAATTCATAACCCCAACCGCCCCAACCCGCCGCCTCCACCTACGCCCAAACGGCCAGCCCCGATGCGGCTCACTCAGCGTCTATCGCGCTAGACCCCAACGCCGGTCGGTCCGGATCTTGAAGCCCATCAGCGCGGCCTCCCATCCCCGCGAAATACTCCAAAAACCATCTCCAACCCTCGAAAAAACCCCAATCGGAACCCTAGCCATGGCTGGGAAGGTCCGGTTAAGGTTTTTAAGGGATGGTGTGATGGTTTTAGGGGAATACGTGGAGAGGGAGGGGGGTTTCTGGAAGGGAGATACGATTGGGGAGGGGGTTTAACACGGCGATGGTGCTGAGGAAAAGGGGTTTTGGTGCGCCGGTGAAGTATTGGGTGGTGGGTCGACGGATGGCGTGAGGGGTGGCTGCCTGCTGGGTTGGTGGGGGATGGGTGGTGTTTTTTTTTTAAAAAAAAAGTTATTTAACTATTAATATAAAACTAACCCTAGTTAAAGATTATATCCTAAAATATATCATTAATGCTATTTTTAATATATATTAAGAATTTATGATTACCAAAGATAATTGAAAATTCTAGTGTTTACCATTGAGAAAAATAAAAAGTTGATGAGCATCATTGAGAATTTCCCTTTTAATTTTTTTTTTTGTTTTAAAAAAATATTTTTTTTAATCATCTCTTTTCCCCCACGCAGTCACGCACTAGGCCCCCATCCACCTCCCTTACCTGGTCCCATCTCCATCCTCCTCTGCCAGCGCTGCCGCTACCCTCCCCACCCTCAGTCGTCCCTCCCGTCCCCCTTAATCCACCACAACCACCAATACACCACAAAATCACATCTTTTCTCTTTCCCACTTACTATGAAAACCCTTAAAACCAACCAACCATGTTCCTCTTTCCTTTCTTTTGCTACTCACGATCTTACCCCATTCAACCATCACCATTTGTCCTCACCAACCATCTCCATCAGTCACTCAGTCAACATTATCATAAAAAAAAATCAAAAACCTTCGTTGTTTACTTGTCGGCTAGTGTTGAGGGGTTTGCCGGTTTCGTGTGCGACTGTGCGAGGGAGCAGGGGCTGAGGTGTTCGGGAATTGGGGATGGGGTTTTCGAGAATTTGGGCTGGGGTATCGGGAATTGGGGTTGGTTCGTCGTGAATTGGGCGCCGGTGGGAGTGGAATAGGGATGGCAACGGGTCGGATCTGGACCGGGTCCGGATGGACCCGGATCCAGATCCGTTTTTGTATATAGGATCCAGATCCGACCCGGATCCCTCGAGTCTAGAAAATGAAGACCCGGATCCGGATCCGTCGGGTCCAATGAATCCGGGTCCGGATCCGGGTCCAAAACGGGTCCAATATATTTTGCCTAATTTTTTGCAATATATGTAATGTTCGGGTCAAAAAATTTATTTCAAACTTACGTTGTTGGTTATTAAGTTCAACCCCAAATTAACCAACTTATACACTCATATTTTGAATTAAAATTATAAACAAAAAAAAAATACGATGTTACATATGAACTAGTGAAAAAACAACGATGATGTATATAATATGAGCATCCAAAATACATTTATTGAAAGGGTTAATCTTTATCATTACTAACATTATCAACATTTTTAATAAAGAAACATACAATTTTAGTTTTTTTAAATAGGAAAAATAAAAAAACGGGTCCACGGATCTTGATCCGGGTCTAGGGCCCAGACCTAGATCCAAATCCGTTTTTGTCAGCAGGACCCGGATCCGACCCGGATCCGTCGGGTCCAAAATTTGAAGACCCAGATCCGTGAAAAACAGATCTGGATCCACGGATCCGGGTCGGGTCAAGATCCATTGCCATCCCTAGAGGGGAAGCTTGGGCACCGACGCCGTCGTCGGTAGTGGAGGTGGAGACGGGAGGGGGCGGATGGGCTGGTTAGGGGAAAGTTGTTTTTAATTTTTATTTTTGTAAGATTAATTCAATTAAGATATAACTAACCTTAGTTAAGTATTTTTTTAATTGTTATAAAACTAATCTCAGTTAAAGTTAACAGTCAGTTAACAGTTTCAGCTAAATATGGCTACGGAAGTAAAATTTTAAAAGTTTGAGGCTACCAAAGATAATTCATATAAAAAGTGGCTACCAATGGAAATAAGCAAAAGTACGAGGCTACCAATGAGAATTTCCCTAAAATATACTTACCAGTCGACAAAATAAATATATCCAACCAACTAAAAAAATAATAAACCAAATGATGTCTAATAGTAGCCAACAAAAGAGGGAAAAAAACATATTAGCCAACGATAGGAATATATTAGCCAACCCAAAAACCATATCAACCAACAACTGAAATATATCAGACAACACATGAAACATATCAGCCAACAAGTAAAATATATCAGCCAAGCCTCTCGCACCAAACAACTTGTGCGTCCTTCTCAAAAGTTAAATATATCATGTATTTCATCACATACATTCATCATTCATGTAAGATATTGGACATAGAATCCAAACAAATAAGGAGACAATTTCAATTTTTAGGTAAGTATATTGTAAGAAAGTAATAAATCATAACGGATCTCCCATTTCATATGTTAAGTGACGTATTAAATCCAATTTTATTTAAAAATTGAAAAAGGCGCCTGGATAATAATGATCTTGGTTATTGTAACAACCAATTATTTTTATTTCACCTTTTCTCTCCTATTTAAGTTCTGAAATAATTGTTGAAATCACAGGGGGAAAAAAAAGAGTGAACTCCCACAAAGTAACATTCATAGGGAGAAAATAAATAGAGGCTTTTCGATTCATGTTCATAAGATGTGATTAGGTTTGCACGCTGGCTGCCAAATACCTATCGCAACTCTCCTCCTTTATCCAGACTTGATATCGATAATGAATGCCAACAAAGTAAGATTCAGAGGTAAAAACAAAAGAATGAGGATAAATTTTCACTTCTATATTTTATTTAATCCTTTGATAAGTTCATGCCATTTTGTATTAGTTATTAAGTGTTTCTTTATTCATTTTTGTACAACATTATTGATGAATGTGAGAAATGCATTTCATGAGTGTAACATTAACTAATTCACTATAACTCTTGTGTGTAAAATTTATTCAAACAACTCAATTAGTTGTACTCGTTTGAATTCAATTCAAATTGGAAGTTATAATACGACATGTGGCATTCTCCGTAATCCTGAATATTAATTTCGTCTTTTATACAATTTTACAAAGTAATAGATTAATTTTTTTAAAAAATAAAGTTATATTCTTGAAAATGATACATTTATTTCTTTTTATTTGTATTTTTTTTAAAAAAACTCTTGCTTTTATGTTTCTTAATTGCTTTCAAATCTTGATTAGAAAAGAGATAAAATTGAGGTTTTAGGCTTTCTTCATATCTCAATACCTTTTTTCACTTTTTGCTTTTTAAATATGTACTCTTATATATTAAGCCTATAGATTTTTTTTTATTACACAGCTCAAGTGAATAAAATCACTATTTTATTCACAATAATAATTTTATATGAACAAAAGTACCAGTCTTTCTAGTTTAATTTTGTTGTGTTGATTTACTATTAAATAATCGGTCATTCTCGAATCACTTTCAAAGAGTTTGACCCGCTTATATTTTATTTTAATATAAATTAATACGATGCAAGATATTGAGACGTCAAAGGGAAAGAAGAGAAACAGAGAACCCGAACGTGATGTAATTGTGATTGGTGATAGTAATGATGATGTTAACAATGATGATGATGATGTTAATAATGATGGCAAGAATGATGTTAATAATGATGGCAAGAATGATGTTAACAATGATGATGAAGTTGAGATTATTTCATCTAATGTCTTTTGGAAACCTGAAGAATTGAAGGGAATGACTTTGATAGAAAGTAATAACGAAGTCATTAAACTTCTATGTGGTATTACCCATCCTAAGTATGGTGATTCTATTGGCAAGATTTCAATTTATCGTGATGGTAGAATTGAAATAGATTGTGATTGCTATCCTGGCTGCAAAAAAGGTACATACAATTTTATTTTATTTTATTTTTATTTTTCCTAAAGCCATTTGTTATTTTCATTACTATTAAGTTACATGTGACGTTTCATGAATTTGCGCAATTTGTAATTGTCACATTTTTCTAACCCTTTATAGTTATGGATATGATACAGATGTACTGAATGATTTTTTTTTTTTGTAAGAGTTTGATCATTCTTGCACTTTCTCAATCAATCAATTTTAGTTATGTATATTGAAATTTTAATCTAAATCATTACTCATAAAAAAAAAAAAAGAAAGAAAAAGAAAATCATTACTCATACTATAAATAGCCAACAATAATTTATGAAATTATCTTAGATGTGTGACATTAATTGTAGACACCAATAATTCTCTTTAATTGATAACAGGATCTCTTGTAATTAATCTATATGCATGTATTTATAAGTTCATTGTATAGTTTTTGTACAACAAGTTCATTGTATAGTTGTTTGAAACTATTTGACCTTAATTACTTCTTCTGTGTTTTAATAAGTGTTACACTAATTAAATTCGGTCATATTATAATAAGTATTACACTTTATTTTTTGCCAAAAAAATTACATTTAGATATTATTTCTCTCCTCTTATAGTCCCCACCTAAACCCAGGCCACTACTACTTTTTTTTTATATAAAAGTAATATACCTCACATTCATTACTTAAACTATTAACCCCGCTATTTTTCTTTTATAATTTTTAAATACTCTAACTACCCCATTTAACTCTTATTTTATCTGAGTCAATTAAATTGTCTAAACTTATGTGTCGGTTAAAATATAACACTTATTAAAACACGGGAGAAGTAGTAAATTTATTATCCCTGAGAATAATGTACTGTTACATCACATGATCTTCCCCTCTACTCTCAAATGTTAACCTATGTAGACAGACTGTTTAACCCGTAATGTTAGAACATGTTTTTACATCATGCTCTGTAGTGTAAAATCTAACAAGTGATGCCCTACGTTACTTGGTGCACAGACAAAATATGTCCAAGTGAATTCGAGAAGGAAGCAGGGTTTACTGGAGCGAGCAATTGGAGGGGACATATATGGGTTTTTGTTGATGTACATAAAAAGTCTCTAAGGGATACAAAACTGCTCAAGTATTACAAAGGATCAATTAAAGACCGCTGTGATCCAGTTAAGCCGGTTCGAAGTCGAACCGTCCACCGTGATGAGTTCATGAAATGCACTGCTTGCGGCAAGCGCCGGCTCTTTATGTGTCGAAACAAAGACCAGTGTAAGGCCTACCACCAAGCTACCAAAAACAGTGCTACTTGGACTTGCTCTGACTTTCCTTACAAATTGTAAGTCTATCTTCATATGTCTCGTCACTTCCATACGTTCTTAAATCTAAATTATATTTGCGTACAACATGTCACGATACATGCATATTTACACATGCTACATTTCTATATGCTTTTGGATAAAATACAGCACTATCAAAGATACGTTCTGACCTTGTTTAGTAAAGAGATTTTTGGAGAGCTTTTAGCTTATTTTGTCTTATTAGAAGTTTGACCGTCTAAATATTAAATATACTAAAATAGCTAAAAATAAACAACTATTTATTAAATATTTATACAATCAGCTATTTACAACCAGTTAGTCAAACTAAATAATGGCCCTGTTTGGTAGTTAGCTTATTGGGGGTATATTAGCTTATTTGACTAACTTTAGTTGATTGACTAGTCAAACAAGCTAATACAAGTGTTTGGTAGTAAGCTTATTCCACTAAATAAGCTATTTTTGAAAAAGCTCATAAAAGGAGCTTTTTCAATTAGCTTATTCATTAATTATTGTGAAATGACACTTATAATCTCATTTAATTTAAAATCCTATCTAAACTACCTACCCCACAATTAGCTTATTGGTCATTTCACATACTCAATCACCTTTAAGCTATCAGTTATTTACCAAACACTTTTATATAATCAGTTAATACAATAAGTTAGTCAAATCAGTTAATAAAATCAGCTAGTCAAAATCAGCTAACTCAATCAGCTTCAGTTTTCAGCTTTCTCCCAAACAGGGCCAATATAATCAGCTAGTTAAATAAGCTAATACAACCATCTAAATTAATCTGCTACCAGCTAATTATTACCATCCTGGAGACCAGTGCTGTGTCTTACTAATAATATATGATCGATTGTTTGAAGTGTAATCCATGTAACATGTATACGAACTAATATGAGATCGATTTATTGTAATGTGTAGCTTAAGGTGTGAGGATGATGAAAGAAGGGGAGCTAAAAATCTAGTAAGGGGATGTCCTTTAAAACCAACATGCGAGGGTTGTTCATCATGTGTATGCTTTGGTTGCGATATGTGCCGATTCGACGATTGCGACTGTCGTACTTGCCTGGATTACATTCTCAATATTGAAGTTTAATTTGAATTGGAGATTATTGAGGAATCAAGATCAAACTTTACCCATGTAATAATCGTAGAATTGATCTACATGGTTGGATTTTATTTTCAAGTTTTATTCTAAAACTATTTTAGTCCATTTTCTGTACTAAACTATTTAAGTCCATTTTCTGTTATTTTTAAGAGCTGAAATTAAATTCTACAGAATTTTCTTATTATTCTAAGAGCAACTCCAATGGTTGTAGCTAGGGACTAGCTTATAATTTCAATAAAATCCTAGCTATTAGCTTAATCATTAGAGCTACAAAACTCAATTAGTTTGGCTAACCCAAGCTAATTTGCTTGGGAATAAACTTGCCAAAATAAAATGTTCATTGTATCAATTAGAGTAAAAAGTAGTTAAAATGATGATTAGCTTAAAAGCTTATGTGTTAGAGCAACTCCATTGGCAAGCTAATTTGACAATTAGCTTGCCATGCAACATAAGCTTTTAAGCTAATTATCATTTTCGCTACTTTTTGCTCCAATGGCTAGCTATTAGCTTAGTAGTAGTTGTTGGATAGAAAATACATGGAATTGAAAGAGCTTAATTGGTGCAATGAGCATTTTTCTTTTGGCAAGTTTAATTCCCAAGCAAATTAGCTTGGCCAACCTAATTTGCTTAGCCCAACTAATTGAGTTTTATAGCTCCAATGGTCAATCTAGTAGCTAGGGAATTAATAAAATTGCAAGCGAGTCTCTAGCTACAACCATTGGAGTTGCTCTTATGGCAAGCTAATTGACAAATTAGCTTGCCATTGGAGGTGCTCTTACCTATAGTTTATATAATATTATTTCATGCGTCTGACTTTACTTGTGCCATTATCACAAATCCTTTTTTTTTTGAATCACAAATCCTTATATACTAAGGGTCTGTTCACTTATGTTTAATTTTAGTTCAGTTCAGATCCAATCAATTCAGTTCAATTCAACTCAGTAAATGTGAACATGCCCTAAGTATAAGTAATATGGCATGCATGCTTAATATTTTTTGTATGTAACAGTAAGGTCTTGTTTGGTTCACCTTATTTTTGCTGATTAGATCAAACTTGGTCTGATCAAATCTGGTTTAGTCTGATATGATTGTCTAATTTGATCAAACTTTGACCTTAAGTGTACAATAATATATAAGGTAAAAATATATCAAGTGGAATCTTATTAGATTCGTAATAATGTGTATTTTATTAATATGTAATTTTCACAATTTTTTTCATTACGAAATCAAAGATATTTAGCGATAAAAAACCGCAAATAAAACGATGTTCTTATCTGAACTTATTTTTTCTGATCTAATCTGAAATTATTTTTTCAGATCTGATCTGATGTGATCTGAACTTATTTATTCTGAAATAACAAGGCCTAATTGTATATTTGTATTACTCCATGTCTCCCTCAATCGATTTAAATTTTTAATTATTATTTACCCACTAGTGTTTTAACTTGGTCAAAACGCTATTGCTAAACAAAATATTAATAGAATATAGTAACATTTTAGTTTTTTCAATTTTTTTTTTTTAAAAAAGGTTGGTTTTTCCAAATGATACAAGTAACCTCTACCATTATTAGTAGCTAGAGTGTATCCGTGCTAACGAACGGTTTATACATAACATGTGTATTTAGAAAGAAAAACAATAGGAGATGTGAAAGTTATTAGAAATAATGGAGAAGTGGATGTTATTAAAAAAAATGGAGAAGTGGAAGTTATTATATTGAAGGAAATAGCAAAAAAAAAAATGCATGAGATTTGAGAATTTGGCTTTTGGAGGATTGTAGTTAACTGACTCTGCAATTATATAAAAGATTTCCTTCCTTTCTACCACAATATATGTGTCTATTAATGCGTAATAAGTAAATAATACTACCTCCGATTTTTATTAATTGCAACTTTGGGGTATTATTTGTGAGATATTAAATGTTATAAAGTTCTAAATAATAAAAATTGGAGTTAGGGTCTGTTCTCTTACGTTGAAATTCAGTTCATTTCAGTTCAGCTCAGCTCAGCTCAGCTCAGTTCAATTCAGTTCAGTTCAGTTTAGTTCAAAGGACTGACCAGCCTAGGTAGAGAATGCAAGTGCTCTTTTAAAATCTGGAATGTCGTCTCAGCATCGTCTCCCCATTCAAACCTGGTCTTCTTCCTGATTGTTTGGAAGAAGTAAAGGCATTTGTCGCCTAACCGGCTGAGGAACCTCCCCAAGGCGGCCAGGCAACCAGTGAGTCTCTGAAATTCCTTGACAGAACGGGGTGACTTCATGTCAATCACCGCCTGTATCTTTTCGGGGTTAGCCTCTATCCCCCTTTGATCAATCAGGAATCCGAGAAACTTCCCAGACTCAACACCAAAGACGCATTTCTTGGGGTTTAACATGACTTTATGCCGCCTGAGGGTGGTGAACGTTTCTCGGAGATCAGCAAGGTGATCCGCCTGTTGCTTGGATTTGACTATCATGTCATCAATGTACACCTCCACATTCCTCCCAATTTGACTAATGAAGACCGTATTAATCATCCGTTGGAAAGTGGCAGACGCATTTTTCAAGGCAAATGGCATCACAGTATAACATAATAACCCCAAATCAGTGACGAAGGCCGTCTTCTCTTGATCTTTCTTCCAGAGGGGTATCTGATGAAAGCCAGAATAGGCATCCATAAAGCCCATCAAGGAGTGATCGGTTGTAGAGTCGACCAGACTGTCGATCTTTGGAAGCGGGTAAGTGTCCTTAGGACACGCCTTGTTGAGGTCTGTGTAATCAACACACATGTGCCAGGTCCCATTCGGTTTCTTAACAAGGACCACATTGGCCACCCAGTCGGGGAAATTACAAGGCCGAATGAACCTGGCGTCTAGCAGCTTTTTGACTTCGGCAGCTGCCGCCTGACTTCTTTCCTCGCCGTGGTTTCTTTTCTTTTGCCGGATGGGATTCTTTTTGGGGTCCACGGTGAGTTTGTGGACAGCGAGATCCGGTCTGACGCCTGGCATCTCTTCCACTTCAAAGGCAAAAATTTCTTTGAATTCCTTCAGCAGAAGGTGCAAGCTTGCACCCAGAGTAGCATGAGCAACCGTCCCAACCTTTACAGTATGCTCTGGACGACTGTCATCCAGAACGAGATCAATGTTTTCACCAGCCAGTTGGGGACGGAGCTCGTCTGACCGTTCACCGGTCAGTGATTGCTATTTTTTCTCTTTCTTCACCTCCACCAGCAGAGGTGCCTTTCTTTTCTTCCCGACTGCTGGTGGGACAGGTACTGGGTCGGCATCCTTGACATTGTCAAGGTCTATTGGTTCCTGACTGCCTGGGGCCACAGTATCTTTAACGGCTGAGAGATAGCACTCTCGGCCGTCTTCTGATCCCCATTCAAGGAACCAACATAGCCTTCATTCCTTTCATACTTGATGAGCATGAGAGACGGGATGATTACCGCCTTGGCTTCGTTGAGAGTTGGCCAACCAAGGATAATGTTGTAGGTGGTCAACTCCTCAACGACCAAGAATCTGACGACAATATGTCGTCCTTGGCCTTTCTCTCCCAGCCGGATGGGTAAATCAATCCTTCCGGCTAGGTAGACCATCCCACCCCCAAAACCAACCAAGGGGTGGGTGACCGGATGCATGTTGTTGACACCGTATTTCAGCTTTTGCAGGCATCGGAGGCTGATGATGTCTGATGAGCTGCCGGTGTCAATAAGGATCCGTGCAACCAGCTGGTTGGCAACCTTATATTCAATGACGACCGGGTCATCATGCGGACGGCGGACGATGCCCCTGTCCTTCTCAGTGATCAGAACGTCTGGGAAGGAGGAGCTTGCAGACGCCTGCTCATCATCATCTTTGTCCATCTTTCGAAGATGGCTCTTGGTGCCCCGGATGGTAGGGCCACCACATGAGAACCCGCCTGCTATTGTGTAGACCGGCTCCTTGTCGGTATCCGAGCTACTAGCAGGCTGGGGGTAGTCTTGGAGGATTGACCCTTGTTCTTCTTCTTTGCCCCGGCTGGGGACTTAGAAATGTAGGACTTTAACATCCCCTTGTCAGTCAGACGGTCCAACGCCCGTTGAAGGCTGAAGTAGTCGTTGGTGTCATGGCCAACTTCCTCATGGTATTGGCAGAATTTGTTTTTGTTCCTTGATTGAATGGAACTTTTCATTGGATTCAGCTTCTCTAGTCAGAGTCACTAACTGCCCAAACTTCTTTTCTTTTCTTGCTCTCTTCTTTATTTTTGGCCGACTAAGCAGGCCGGCTGTCTTTCTGTTTGTCAGACTTCTTGGAGTCCGACTGATTACCAGGCGAGTAGAGGTCGGTTGCTTGAATATAGCTTTCCGCCTCCCTCAGGCCCGCCTGTAAAGTGAAAGCCCCTTTTCTGACTAGGTCAAACTTAAAAGTTGACCCGTCTCTCAGACCCTTGAAAAAGTCTGTAAAAGCTACCTCATCAGAAAGTCCTTGAATCTGAATTCTAATCAGATTGAACTGCCTGACATAGGAGCACAATCCTTCTCTCTCCCCCTGCTTAATGGTACTCAAGTCCAGGCTTGTTTTCTTAGCAAGGATGTTCATTGAGAAATTGGAAGCAAACAGGAAGGCAAGCTTCCTGAAACTATCAATGGACCCGGCTGGCAAATTTCCAAACCATTTTTGGGCAATGCCCTTCAACGTAGCCGGGAAGCATCGACACCAAGTGGCATCATCCAACCCCTGTAAGTACATGAGGTTGGTGTAAGCCATGAGGTGATCTTCCGGGTTGGTGGTACCATCATAGGTACTGACCAATACATTCTTAACCTTGGCCGACTGTGCCGCCTTGGTTATTTCCCGGGTGAACGCAGAAGGTTGTTCACCCAGGCGGAGCAGATGGAGCTGCCAGTCCAGTGGGTGGACATTGTGATATGCCGCCTGACCTCCGAAGAGAGTCGTCTGCATATAGTAAGGTGGGTACTAACCGTAGACCTGAGAAGGTACATATGGTGCAGTCCCGATCATCTGAGGGCCAG